TTGTTTTTAACTAATCACAAAGCATTCTGAGATATTAGTAAATGGAAAACCATAAAACTACTCTTAACATGAAACAATGACAGAATGTACGGAACTGAATATCAGTGACTAGTACCCAAAAAGTGGATACTAACCATATTTCAAGTCAATGGAATGAGCACAAACTAAGGTTTACAATTGTTTCTCTAGCTTAAAGTTCATGTATGATGGGAGTATATACAGTACCACCTTCTGTAATTAAAGGGTTAAAGTGAATCAAGATTGGTTTCGTCTTGTATCCAGATGTGAGTCTTTTTTTGTTGCATGAGCAAACTCTTAACTGTTACTTGGTGAAGTCCTGTATATCTAGAAATAAATAATATTCTTCTCTGAAAAGGCTGATAGCCTAGAGGTTGAATCAAACTTCTAAACTTCAGATGTAGGAACAGAACTTGCCATAGAGAGATATGATGAGACTGAAGGATATATTAATGCTTAAGTGCAATTTCCAAATCTCTTGAAGTCTTTTTACCAATAGAAATAGTTTAATGATGCTGTGGTTCAAATATTGGTTTGAGGCTGGCAAGTCTTCATGCAGAAACTAAATATTGTGTGTCTGGCAATTAAGAAATGCTAAGGCTTGCACTATTAGAAGGCAAGAATATCTCCATGCTCAGTGCTCCTGACACACAGAACCTTTTGATGTGAACAGTGCAATGAGTTAAGAGTCTACCAGAAAAACTGAAAAAACCCCCCAGCTTTATGTAGACCATGAATTTAAACCTCCTGCCCCCTTGCATCATGCAGAGATTTTCATATGGGTTTAATAAAACTCTGCAATGCTCCAAATTTGTGGATAAAATCAGCTCTTTCTCATAAAGAAAGTGGTTAAGTATAATTTTCAGTTTACAGTTGGAAGTGGCATGGAAACTGTGACTAACAGACAATGTAACAAGTAGGCTTGCAACTTACTCCAACAGTTAATAATAATTACTATCGTTTCAATTGTATCAATAGGATGTATATTTAACACAGAGACACACACAGAAATATAAACCCAAAATATTTACAGTTGAATCAACAGCTTTTTTGTGAGGATGAAAAATAGGTCAACAGCTTACATTATACTAAGATAATCATAAGAATAATGGGAGACATCTATGTATAATACATCACACACATATTCCTCCCTCTGAAGTGTTGGAGGATTCACAGTTTATACCACACTAAAACCAAAATGGAGCACATTAAACTCTAGGCATGTGAGGTCCAAAACTGTGCTGTAAAAATTAGGATTTTGATACTCATTAATGGCTTTTTTTCCCCCCACTCTTCTCCCTTCCCTTCCTCCAGCAACCTTTGTGCTTCTGCCTTCAACTGGTTGCTCACCATGTCAGAGTGTGCTAACATGAAAAATTGTTTTTTCTCCAGAAGTTCTAGACACATCCTCTCTGTCTCTTTTGGAGGATGAGTGAAAACCTGACGCTGAACCTTAAGTGCAAGGAAACAGTGCTGTTTGGCTCACACTTCACAGAATCATAGAAAACAGGGCTAAGTGTCAAATCCCTCCTCTATTTCAGTCTGTATCTCCCCAAAATACTTATAGTTTTTACATATCTGCTGGATCAAGCACGTTTTGGGAATGAGAGAAAATGTTCTGAAATCATATTTTCCAAAGAACTCCTTTGAAAATATATGCCATTTGGCCTAATTCAATCAATTCCTCAGCCAGGTCTATTCTGCAGAAACAGCTATAGTGTTCATTCCCTAATAGTTCCTGTTTTCTTTCATTGTCCGAAGGGACATTATCTCATGGTCCTGCTTTCTTACTCAAAATTATACTGGTTCGGTTTCCTTCTAAAGTATAGAAATTCCTAGAAAAAAAATAATTAGCATGATACCTATCACACTATGTTTTCATAGCAAGAAAACACCCAGTCAGGATGCCATCAACCAATGAATCTTTTCTGATTGCACCTACCCAGAAAAGTAGATTTCCCCAAGGTAACATAATAAACCATTCTTACCTTTTATTTAAGTACAGTCCTACCAGAGTCCTATAGATTTCCCCGCAGCACACTGCTGCTTACACACGAAGAGAACAAACATATCCTACCCCCTTTGCAAGGACTCAGAGCTGGCTGAGTCTTGGGTTTGACCAAGAACCAAGAGCGTGAGCTGGATCATAAGCTTGCTGTGAAACCAGAGAAGTAAATGAGTTTGTCAAGTCCTAACTAGCATTTTATGACAAATTTAATTTGGCAAGAATATACAGTTCAGTATTTTGTCAAACTTGTTAAGGCTTGTATATCCTGTATATGTATCTTGACCAGCTGATATATTTCATAGTATCCTGCATTCAAGAGCTTCTAATGAAAATATAGAAAAATTAAATCAAACTTTGTTTCTCCGTGCAATTTTTAGAACCCAGTACTTAAAAAGGATTATGTCAAGAAAAATAAAAACCATAATCTGTGATGGGTCTATTCTTATACTGGCTGCCAGCAGTGCAACTCTGCAAACCATTACTTTCTGCAATTGAATGTAGAATCAACTGAATTTAAGCTACTCATTTAGCTTTAATCCCAGATCACAGATGTAGGGTAAAACTACTCTTTTCAGACTTGCTACTGAATTTAAGCTACTCATTTAGCTTTAATCTCAGATCACAGATGTAGGGTAAAACTTTACTCTTTTCAGACTTGCTGTGGATTTAATGGGCTTCTATAAGCGTTGTTCTACTGGCATCAGAAAACACAAAAGCTGATCTGAAAGTTTTCTGCAGCCTGTGCAGGGGCTCCAGCCTCCCACAGAATGAAGCCCCATCTTTCCAGACAAAAGGTGGGTGGTTGGTGTGAAGCTTGGTTTGACTCCCCTGGCTGAGAGAGGAACCACAGCACTGACTAAAAGCTGCCCAGTGTTACAGCTCCATCACTCTCTAATACTGCCAGACATCACTCTCCAACACTGCCCTTCTCTGATACCACCATAAAAGATGATAGATGTAAGAGAATTTTAAAGAAAGCTTCAGGTGATAAGAAAGGAATATCCACAATATTCTTCAAAAATGCCTTTCTCCCATCCAGCTGAAGGGGAGTTGCCAATAACAACAGGGACCCGGCCACAGCCTGCAGGAGATTTCACAACACAAACCTTCCCAGAGATGTCTCCCCCGTCACCCCACCTCCAGCCCCTGCCTGCTCTGGAAGCTCTCCAAACTATTGCTTCTATTCCTATTTCTATCCTGCTTGTTTTGTATCGAGCCCCACAAAATAACAAGTAAGCAATTTACAATGTAAATTATTTGTTGTGTAAGGGGGAAACGGTCTGCAGGCACAGGTGTGAATATGGAGGGTAAGGTTGGAACTGGGGGCACTTATTGTAGTTCTTTTCTTTTTTTTCAGTAGGCTGTTTGACTGGCTTTGAGCAGGTTTCCTTTCTAATCAGCCCCACAAACCAGTGCCCGTGTGACAATCCAAGCACATCCAGTCATTGACAACTTGCTTTACTGGTAAATTAACCAAGCTATAATATAACTTAGATCAGCTTTTTCCTAGACTTGCTTACTTTCCACAGCTTGCCCGGGGATTGTCACAACGCTTGGTGAAGAACACTAACCAGATAATTCTGGAGCACGTGCAAAGTGACAACTCATCTCCCTAAGCCAGAGCATCCAAGCCTGTCACAGTCACAGTTCTCTGTTCTAAAGATGGAAAAATGCACGGATGCAGATGCAGATGCAGATGCAGATGTAGATGTAGATGTAGATGAAGATGGCAGGGTATTGAAAACTAAGCCAGTGAGGATTAGTTCTTCCATCCATAGGACCATCTGACCTTTCTGGCCAACTACCAGCCCTTCTACATTTCTACTTTCCTAAATCCTAGCAGCTTGATCCTGAATAACTGATCCACAAGGAACAAATTCAAGCTATAAGGACTCTGTTTTACGGATAAGATCAGATTTTATAGGAAATACCAATTTTATCATACAGATAGAAGCCTGATTGTCTGCCGTTTTCATCCTGTCTCTGTCAACAGGATTTTAAGTTTCTGTCTGAAGATAAACCCGTCTTTTTAAAGACAGTTACTTGAAAAATAGTTTCCAAAACATACAAAACATACCAAAACATTGTGATAATATAAACCCTGTTCATTAAAAAAATCCAGAAATAATTGGAGTGGCCATGCTCTAACATGTTTGTAACCTATTTCAATAGAATGTCATCAACGTTCAAAATAATAACATCATCAAATTCTAGTTAATCTCAAACTAGCGAAGTGTTATTTTAATCTGATTAGTTCTCCCAGTGGGAAAGGCTGGAAGTGACTTCAACTGCCTGAAGATCTATAAAAGGTTTGGGTCACTGGAGGCAATATTCTACCTACAGGTGTTTGGTGTTGTGTTTTACAGCCTGCAGCAAACTTCATTATGTGTGAAAAGACGAAACACCACAGTCATTTCTCACTTCAGAACATCGTCAAATGTCTGCTTAATCTTTCTAGTGACCATCCAGCTAATTTTATCTCTGAAATTCTGCACAAGAAACACCCATTCTTGTCGTTACATGGCAACTTAAAATCAACAAGCAATCCTTTCTGAAACAAATCCTTAGAACTATTTCTGAAAAAGAACAACAGTGGAAGAGAGCCATATTTAAAAATTCCAGCATTTGCAAATAGCTATTACAGTCTGTAATGTTGTAACATGTTTTTAAAACAGCTATTTTAGGACATGCACGCTTAATGATCAGTGTTTTGGTCTTAGAAAGATACTGACTAAATAGACATCATCCTGTAGACTACTTTATAGGTTATGTGGATTGTAAAACAAGTTATACGAGTGCCCATGGAACTACAGAACCTCAAAGGAGACACTGTTTTTTTTTCTGGTAAGGACTAAAAGTTTCTTTTACTTGTAAGACACTCCCTTTGCCTTTTTGTAATGTCTAAAACATAATTAGTAAACTGTTTTGAGTCTAGACATTTCTAATTTTAAAAAGCTAATAAAAAATTACTTACCCAATTTTCCTCTAGACTAAAAATGAAAATGTACCCCTCTGTCCCTGATTTTTATAACCTTCTGCACTCCTTCACGCCTGGCTGCTGTATGGATCCCCTTTCTCCCTGGATCACATGAAAGTGTTCTATTAATGTGAATTGGCTTATGTTTGAGAACACTATGCTGGAGAGCTATGAAGTGTAAGGAATCTGACCCAGGGAGCTGTAGGACTATGACACATCAGTTCTTCACAGGAATTCTCAGTTGCTGGATGAGAATAACATGAAATAGGTCCTGCACACGGGGTGCAGGCTGCTGTCATTGTTAGTACACTCTTTGCTGAAGGCAGTGAGACAAGTTCCATGTAACTGCAATTTTACCCTCTGGCTTTTCACTCCAGGACAATAACTACTACATACCAGGCTGTCTCTCTCACCTGACTAACTTAGGAAGCTACGTTTGGGAAAATGAATCATTTTAGCACGTGGCAAGCATATAACCCCAGCATGGCTACAAGTGATTGCTGCCTTAAGAAAACCATTGCAAGTCAGCACTGCTTTGCATTTTTCATGAGATACGCTGGAGTTCAGAATAAACATTCAAAGCCTAGAAATGTGAGCAGGTTACCTGGCAGGAGGGAAAGAAGGAAAAAGCAGAAGTTTCCTGCCTCCATTCCATTCTTCATCCCTTTGCCTTGTGTTCGGTCTTCTCTTGCCCACAGAGTCAGAAAAGCAGAAAAGCAGCTTGTTTCTCCTCACGCTGGGTGAGATGGATCTTTCAGCCCGCTCCTTTGAATGTAGGGCTTGAAGTTAGAGCATCACATGTGAGCCTTTCAGGGAAAAAAAAAACACATGCCACTTCAGTACAGAGTTGTCTTAACTACAAACCACCAAAGCACGTGTCGCTGGAATAGGAAACCCCAATCATAGAGCAGAGCATGTTTTCAGTTACATGGTACTTTTGGAAAATCCTCCCTTGGAATACATTATTTCAGAGAGGAAAACATTCTTTCAGAATAGGTTGCGAGTTACAGGTCTTTAAACACATGTAATAAAAATATATTCACATCAGTACAAGATAGGAAGAAACGATTGCTGTTATAGGATTAAACTTATGACAGAAGTGCTTAGGTTTAAGCCAATTGTTTGCACGGTGCTGGCTATGTCTAGTAGGTGGTAACTTCTAGAAATTGCTATAAAGAAAGGTGAATTCCTATGAATTTTCTGGGAATACAGTAATCACTGGCATATCAAAATTTCTAAGTCAAAAAAAATGCCGTGCAGTTATGCAAAATATGGGCAGAACTCTACAGAGCACTAAGCACTAATTGGCTTTTGCAAAAATCTGACATTGTTCTACATTTGCTTTTAATTCCCTTGTTTCTCCATTAGAAATGTACTGGCTGGACCACCAAGGCAGCAGCTGTCTGGCTATTCTCTGCTCTGAGCCATCACTGATGTATGTGTATATATCCTGCAAAGTGCTTTTGGTTTCTCTGCTCTGAGCCATCACTGATGTATGTATATATTTCCTGCAAAGTGCTTTTGGGTTTTTTTTTAAATTTTTTTTTATTTTCCTAAACTAAATTGCTGTTTGATTGCAGGGAAAAAGTGGAAGGTTTTAAGCACTTCAGTCTCTGCCAGCAGGACTTCCACATGTTGTCGTAGCAACCTGGTGTCAATCTTTCACTTAATGAAACCTTCCAAGTCATTAAAAAGAAACAGTTCCTGGTGCCAAGGAGGGTTTGATCCTGCCAGGGTTCTTTCCCTGACATCCCACCAGATTGGGCCCCAAGTTTATTTCAGAGTTCTATTAATAGTTGTTCTTTCATATTCCTCTGAAAATACCTTCTTAGACTGGCACAATGTATACTGTGATTTGACGGGCTGTAACCTAATCCACTTTGCTGAAAGAATATCTGGTGCCAGATTTTTACCTTCCACGGGATTATCTGTAAATATGGAAATAAAAGCTTCTGCAAGAACCAAGTGTATGCACTTACACTTCTATATTGCTAAAACAATTTTTTAAGTTAGCTACGCTCATTAAAAGAAATTCCCCTCATCTGTGTTTGCTCACAGAGCTGGCAGCTGAATGGCAAGGATCTCAGATGTTTTGTTTCTGATGTTTTCAATTAGTTTAGGCTCCATTTCAGATTGCCAGGATTATCTTTGCGGCAGGAACAGCCATCACTGGGCAATAGGTCCTGGGTTGCAATGTTCTCAGATAATTAATTTCTTGCTTTATCTCTTGGTCTGAAATAGTAGCATTTATTTTGGTGTATTCAAGGGAAATGCAAAAAGTTTATGCTTTAAAATCATATGCAAGACTCCTGGGCAGTGACTAAACTGTCTCATTTAAAAATACATCTTTTTCCATTAAGGCCTGGGAACACCTGCTGGCAGATTGGGGATCTTCACACCAGGAGACCAATCTTCTAGAACTGGACAAATGATTAGAATTGATCCTAAACTGAATGGTAGATCCACAGTTTATTGGCTCTACATGAAAGCACCTGCAGGCTGGGCAGCTTCCGAGCTATCCGAGATGCACAACCACCACCACTGGTAATTGATGTCTCAGCACTGTAAAAAATCCCCATTATTTATCTGTATCTGATGACGAAGGAGACTGCCTATTGCTTGCTGAAATACAGCATCCAGTTTTGCTGCTGAGTATCATGGTATATACAAAGTATGCAGCATTAAGAATTAGAATTCAGTCAGAGATCCTCTGCTAAATGCCAGAAACTTTATGTGCATTTCTGCACTTTGAGAGGACAAAAAAAAAGGGAATTCTCTGCTTTGAAATATTCATTTTAAGATTCCTCTATGTGAATCTTCACATTTCAGTGAGAATAAGGTTTTGCATGTGTGCATTTATGAGAACTGAATGAACATTGGGTGAAAAAATAGTCTTGGTGAGTAAAAGCAATTTGAAAATCTCACAATCAGCTCAACATGGAGCATTTTCTTAAGTCGTTGATTTCACTGTTGATAACAATCGACATACACGCACAAGAATAGTCAGGAAAGTAGAGGTGTGATCATCTGGACAAGCAGAACTCTCAAAATAAAGATGCAGGGGAACGTCTAGCAATATTGTGAGATGTTTAGTGCACATTAAGGATAGTCAGATGATATTAAAAAACTTAAACGCAGATATATTAACATTTGTTAAGCCTATATTTGCATCCTGACATCTGGACTCACTGGGAGGAGAAAATTCACAGATGTAAAGGGCCTTTATGGTAGTTTCTTAATAACATCCCCTTATATTTCCTCTCTTTCTGAAGCCATGTGTTGTGAATCAGCTTACAGAAGGCAATGGCATTATTTTGGAAGGGGAGGTCTGGGACATGAGAGGTGATAGTTCATGTGTTGTAAGTTAATTTTCAGATAAATAATACGATTCTTAAACAGAGTTAGTGGCATAGAAGGCAGAATCTGTTGGCTGCATGATGGCACTTCTGGCTTCCAGCTGTTAAACTATATTAAACTATGTTTGAAAATCAGCTTAATGTACAGTCTGCTCGTGTTTTCCTAAGAAAATAATTGTCAGTGGGATGCCACATCACTGTGAACGGGAGGGGAACACTGCTGTGAATCCTTGTGAATAATGCACAATAAGCCCTCGCCGTAGCTGAGAGTGGTGAGAGTTCCTCACAGCCTGTCCTATAGCCTAAAACGCTGGTTTTAGCCCTCATTTCTATGCTCTTCTATGCCTTTCACTGTTTGTATAAGGGATCTGCTGCCCAAAATACTGCTACAGCACCGGTCAAAAATCATTTCCTTTTAGAGATAGTTTATGGACAACTGTTAACAGCAGGAGCTGCAAATACAGGATCTAGTTACTTGCAAGTGACACGTGTGACTTGGATTATCATTATTATTATGATATTAAAATATCATTACATGATAATATTATTATAAATTATAATTCTCAATTTTATATAATTAATTATTATTACGTGTGACTAAATTATCCAGTGACTTCAGTGAAAAAGTCACTGGATAATTCACTTTTTGTGAAATTTTGATGAAACTGAAAACTGAATTCAGATTAAACTCCACTAATCTCTGTGGAGTGGTCTTATTTCACATACAAATACAAGCTACTGCAGGAATGTGACAGTAATTGTTGAAATATAGTGTACAATGTTCTTGTTGAAAGTGAATTTATATGCTGCATGGTATTTGTTGTACTCTTGTACTTTTCAGTGTTTAATTTTTGGTTAATATGGCTTGCCTCTTTAAGGACACTTTGTGCTAGTATATTGTGTATTTGGACAAAGAGCAGTTTGTGGGATATTTTGCTCTTGTACCCACTGAGTAAAAGGCCCTGCTTGTCTAAGCACCAAGAAAGGTCAAACATGGATTACAAGAAAGCAAGCAGCATCTTCAGAAATGCAAAATTAGTGTTTGTTTGGGTCTGGATACAACAGGATTTCCTCAGCAAGGTATTAAGCCTTTCACTTCATACTGAACCTTTTAGTACTTTGCCTCCCGCCCAGCTCAGCATTTTGCATTTTGTACAGAATTACAAAGTCTTTGGAATAGGGACTATTTCTTACTTTGTGTTTACGTACTGCATTGCACAATACGTCCTCTCTTGAGACTTTCTGTGTGAGGGTCCAAACCCATGTTACTCATAACGAATTTGCAATGCAAATTTGACAGCACTCTACCAGTCACCCAAAGTACAATAGAAAATTGGTCAAGAGACCAAACTATAATTCGCTCATTTTGTACTGAAAAATGAAATATTTTAAACTTGTATTTTTGACCTGCAGCCTGTAGTCCAGCAAAAGGGCTGATTTGGGGAAGACAAGGAAGATCTATGACTGTATATTCAATCAATCTAATCTATGAAGATGTTTTAGAATGCCTGCTAAAAACACTCTAATAAAACACCGCAATAATTAGAGCAACACAGTAGTATTAAGTATACGTTAACAGAGAAAGAAGAGTCAGCTGGAAGACACAGTCTTGCAGTTGTGAATCTGGTGAACGGGAACTTTGTTTGGAATCAATACAAAATCAGACTTAAATTATCTTAATGATGATGAAGCTACTTTTTTTTTGTCTCTCTGTCTGCTTTACCAGACAATTTCCCAGCCTACTGAAGCTCTCAAGAAGTTGCTGTGGAAGTGTGAAGGTTCTGATCTCTTGCCTCTTATTTCACAATTAAAAAAAAAAAAAAAATTAAAATTGTGAATTTGTAAAAATTTCTAGGCAATCCTGTCACTGTGTTTGAACACTGGATAGTACACTGAAGCAGAGAGCATATGCATGACTGCAGCATTATGAACTCCATAAGGGGCATTACAGGCTGTAACCAGGAAAGCAGGAATGAAACCTTTAGCATATATGGCTATTTGAATTTTCTTACAGATTATAGCAACTTAATATTACATATTCTTTTAAGTCTCTTTTCACTGGCATTTTGTGCAAACTCTATACTCACAACTGAGACAAATTGCTAATGATGGTTTTATCTGATTGGTGTAATAATGTGAACCAAAAGTCTACTTTAAGGAACTCTTAAAGAAGGATCATCAGGACGCCAGAAATAATCATTGAGCACACCTCCGAAACTACTGATATTTATAAAACTACTGATATTTTTAAAAAGTTGTACTACTTGTGATGATCTACGAGAAAATAAGGGCAATGAGGGACATTACTTGGCCCACTGCTCCAGATCAGAAGGCAGATCCAGCACTACAATAACCTCTGATGATACTGGCACTGGGAAAGGAACAGAGGAGAAACTGTATATTAAAGAAATGTTTTTAGTCTGTAATGTAAAATGCTCATAATGAAATGACAATTTGAATGTTACTGCATTTTCCAGACGTGTAATGCTTGGTTGTGGATGATTTAAAAATACCAAAGATACATTTCTTCCTATTAAATTAATAATACATATTCTTACATTTAACTTGGCTTTAACTTTGTTGTTTTTTGTATAAACACCACCACTGGTCATCATTAACTAATTTAGGAGTCTACTCCACTTCAAAGTATATATTTGTTACTTTATTTGCCAGAGTCCAGATCTCTGCTTTGTGAATGATCTATGTGTTTATATTGAAATATACATATGTATTAGAGATGCTCAGTCAAGTGTATCACCCCTTTGTCTCTAATTTTCACCTCCTCAGATGTCAGGGCTTAAAAGTAGATGAAAGATTCCTTGTGATTGGGTTCACCATTACATTTCCCCTCCTTAATAAAGGCGAAAGTTCCAGGGCTTTTCCACTCAACTTGTTGAAAGCAGAAAACTTCTTTAATCCATGGGACTAAAAGTTACACCTTGGATGTGCGTGAGCAGCCCTTTTGCGGGGGGGGGTTTATTCGAAATTACTTAGGACCAATTTATTTTGGAGCGAGCCAAGGACGACTACCTGCCAGGCCCGACGCCGCCGGGGGGGTGCTGCCCCATTCCCGCCATTTTAGGAGGCCGCGGTTCCCTTCAGAGAGGAGCGGGGGACCCATTCCTCTCAGAGAGGCGGTGGAGGGGAGGCCTGCATTCCCCTTGGGAGGAAGGTGGGACACCATTCTCTTGAGAGACATGGGGGGACCACTGTTCCCCTCAGAGACGTAGATGGGGGGCCACCGTTCTCCTCAGAGACATGGGTGGTGAGGTGCCGTTCTCCTCAGAGACATGGAGGGGGGCACCGTTCTCCTCAGAGACATGGAGGGGGGCACCGTTCTCCTCAGAGACATAGTGGGGTCCACCGTTCTCCTCAGAGACATAGAGGGGGGTGCACCGTTCTCCTCAGAGACATAGAGGGGGGTGCACCGTTCTCCTCAGAGACATAGAGGGGGGTGCACCGTTCTCCTCAGAGATACGGGCGGTGGGGTGCCGTTCTCCTCAGAGGCATGGAGGGGACCGCCGTTCTCCTCAGAGACATGGCGGGGGGGGGGCACCATTCTCCTCAGAGATATAGTGGAGTCCACCGTTCTCCTCAGAGGCACGGGGGGGGTGCCGTTCTCCTCAGAGACATAGAGGGCGAACCGCCGTCCTCCTCAGAGAGACTAGGGAGCCGCCCTGAGGGAGCAGCGCGGCCGCCCGGCAGCTAGGAAGCCCCCTTCCTCCCGCCCGCACAAGCACCGCCGGCTGTGCCCGTCTGCCGCCGCGGCAGGAGCGGGCTGTGGCGGCCCCGGCTCCGCCCCGTTCCGCCCCCTTCACGCCGTTTTGGCCCTTGTCGGCCGCCGTCGCGACCGGTAACGGCGTCTCAGCGGCCTTGGCGCCTTCCGCGGGGGCCAGGCTGCCCGGGCGGCGGCCTCCCGCGCCTCTTCCGCGGCGGCTGGCGAAGGCCCGGGGCGCCGACCAGCGATGTCGGAGGCGAGTGGAAGCGATGATTTCTCTTCTTCCTCCTCCTCCTCGCAGAGCTCGAGTGCGGAGCGCGGCCGCCCCTCCACCTCCCGTAACGGCGCCGTGCCCCAGCACAAGCAGCACCGGCTGTCGGGCCGCCCGCTGGCCCCCGAGGAGGAGGGAGAGGAGCCGGAGGCGGCGGGGGATAAACCCAGGCGGTTGGAGAGCGCCGAGGTCGCCGGCGATGAGCGGAGCAGGAGGATGCTCCGGAACCAGTACCGGGAGCTCATCTGCAGCGTCCAGCGTAAGCCCGGGGTGCGGCTCCCCACGGGGGTGGCCCTGGCCGGGGTGCGGGTCGCCGGCCTGGCCTCGGCCCCGGGGCGGACACGGCTCCCCGCCGGCGGGGAGGCCTCATTGTCCCGGGGAAATGGGGGCTGGGGCAGCCCCTGGAGGTGCCAGGCTGGTGGTCTGTCCTTGGTGTTTGAAGAACTCTTGAGGATTTCATGGGAACTCCCGAATTCTGTGGCCTGTGGAAATTTTGGGCCTGGAGTTAGATGGAAGTTCCCCTCCCTGGAAGCGTTTGGATGGCCAAGGATAGCAAGGTTATAAGGGCCTACAGGAGAGATGGGAGGGACTCCTTATCGGGGAGTGTAGTGATAGGATGAGGGGTGACGGTTTTAAGCTGAAAGAGTGTAGCTTTAGATATTAGGAAGAAATTCTTTTCTGTGAGGGTGGTGAGAGCCTGGCCCAGGTTGCCCAGAGAAGCTGTGGCTGCCCCATCTCTGGAGGGGTTCAAGGCCAGGCTGGATGGGGCTTGGAGCAACCTGGTCTGGTGGGAGGTGTCCCTGCCCAGGGCAGGGGGTTGGAACTGATGATCTTTCAGGTCCCTTCCAACCCTAACCATTCTATGTTTTACTTGCACTTAACATGTATGACAGCATTGATGCAGGGGAGCTGCTAGCCTTAGACCTGGGGATATACTGATAGCCTTTAATTTTGTGTTCCTGGTGTTTGAGCTTTAATTTCAAACTGTTGATACCAATACCTGCCTGGAACGGAAAGTTATTCTTGGACTTTTCAGAAAGTGCTATGGGATTTTTTTAGCGTCTCTCTAGATAGGTGTGTCAGTACTTCTCCTGTATATGTTTGGAATGTGTTTTTCTTATGAAAGCATAACAATGGTTGGTTGAGTAAGCACTGCCAAATTTAGCAACATATGGTGTTGGTTGTTTTCCGCATACTTGCTAGATTTGTGAGGTTGTTTTACAAGAGAATACAATGTAGCTTATGGGTGCCCCAGTCTGTGATTATGCAGAAAAGTGACAGTGGTTGTGTCCATGCATTGAATATGGTGCACGTCATTAAAAGCAGTGCTGTGAGTAGCTGTTCAGAACTGAGCATCTGAAAGCCTCTTAAATCACGTGTATGCCGTTATATATAAGTCTCTGTGTTTGACATGGTGGTCACCGTGCATGCACTTTTGGGGGTTGGTTGGTTTGTTTGTTTGTTTCATTCATGAAAATCCTTAGTAACAGGTAAAATGAATAAAATACAGAAAACTGTAGTATCTGTATTTGCTGCTTTGACACAGAAAGAGAAATTTTATTGGAACCAAGAGGAATCTGGGATCTGCTGACATAAATTCAACCATATAAATCTTGCTCCATTGAAGTAAATGGAAAATTACTATTTCAAACTGAGTTAATGCATAAACATTAATAAAAATGGAGCCTACGTATTCTTTCAATTAATGCACTGTAACTATATTCTGTAATTTTGTGTGTATGATGAGATATGAAGCAGTCAGTTTTGATTTTAGGTGTATGTATATATTTCTCGATCCTTCTCTATTTAATTAATTTAAGATTTCATTTGTGTCCCTTCCCCCCAGAAAATCGTGAGGATATGCTGAGTTCAAAAAGCAACAGACTGACAGAAGCTTTGGAAGAGGCCAATAAACTGTTCAGTGGAGGTAAAACAAATTCTGTGGCCCTTATAATGTGTTTGCTTGGCAGTTGGCCAAATGTGAGGCAATGATGCTCAAGAAACAAAAAAGGGCAAGAGAATGACGTTGAGGTCCAAGTACTTAATCAGAATTGTTAAAGTATAGCTTGACATAGATATCTTTAATTGAAGAGGGATTGTTCGAATAAGCTGATATGATAAAAGAAATATCATTACTTCAGTGTTTATGTGCACTTAGAAATACTGCTTGCTTTATCTTGACTCTGTAGAACAATATATATAAATAATACATATAAAAGATATCAATGTAGAGGGGTTCGTTTCACTTGGAGAGATGGAAAGTATGTAAATGAAAAATGCATTTTATTCTTTAAGATAATGTGTTATTTTTCTGTGCTTGCCTTTGTTGGTGTCATCTGCTCCTTTTCTCTCCTTCTCTTTTAAAAAAAAAATACTTACAAAATCCTTGTAATATTTGTATGCTTGTTGGAGGTCAGTACAATAAAATGATTTACAAAGCTCTACACCCAGGAAAGTCTATGCTAAATTTTATTGTTATGTTTTTGACAATTTCATATTATTAACATAAATCCTTCTCTGTAACAGTTTCCTGTGCGCGAGAGGCTGCGTTGGATGCCCAATTTCTTGTCTTAGCATCAAATCTGGGAAAGGAGAAGGCCAATGAGTTGCACTCTGAGATGACAGCATTTGATTCACTAGCATTTGCGGACGACTTGGTAAGTTCCAGATCCTGAATTTGCCAACAGTTTTGCTAGAGGTTTGCTCTATTTGTTACAGAATCGTAAAATAAAAGCCTTAGACTGTCCATGACAATTCAGTTGGAATTTAACACTTTTCCTATAAATTTCTTTGATCAATGTTGTTTGTTTTAATCTATGTATTAAGCATTTCCAATATGCATAGGGGAAAATCTATCTTAAAATGCAGATGTCCCCCTCCATGGTTGCATTGCTGCTACTTTATGACAGTTCCATCATTTCATGCTCTTTAGGTAGTCTTGTGCACTTTTTTATACCCTCTGTTTTATAGTTTCCCAGTAGCTAAGTAGTTTCTTTACCCTGTCTGCTGCTTTATATGTTTTGTGGAAAGAGTTCTCAAGGCCTTGTGTCACTCACATGAAACGGGGCTTTGGATTACTTGCATGTTTTCAGACATGTTTGTCTCTTTGTACAGTGACTGGCTGGAAGAGTCAGTTCAGAATAGCTTTGAAGGAGATTTACCCTCCCTGAAAATTTTCTCTTGTGTTACAGTAGATTAATAAGGAGTCTGAGTCTTTGATCTAGAGCTCTGAAATATAAAAACCCATCAAATTCCATTGTTTCATTCACGCTGTTCCTACAGAAGTCTGGATTGATGGATGCAAAGTTGGGCCAAATAAGTAGTTTTATGACGTTTGAGGAGCTAGGCTTCCTGGAAGTGTGTGGTGTTTGGAAGCTGTGAGACTTCTTAGCTTTATAGTGCAATTTAAATAATGCTTTGCTACTTCATACATCATTGAAATTATGTTGGAATATAGGCAACTTTATTTACCTATAGCTCTTTTTTCTTTCATTGCTTGCTGGTGCTTCCTAAACACAAGTGTGTACGTGACTTTTTCTGTCACATTCTGTCTTCAGGAG